GATTAAACCGTGTTTTCAGCATAAATTCAGTTTCAAGAAAGCTGGGTGGGATTTAGCCCACAAGCTTTAGATGCCTCGTTCAGGGTGAGACAACCTCTGTAGACCAACCTCTTTCTTTCCATCTCTTGGAAAGGGGCTGCAGCCCCTGGCCCCGTTGGATGCAGAGGTGTGCATTTGATGAGATGAATCTCAGCTCCAGCCTTTTCAGAAAAAAGTAACTGGAAAGTCATGCCCCAAAACTTTAAATGTTTTCTTTTATCTTGCCCCGAGACTGCACCGAGTTTCATAACTGGAACAAAAATAAAGGCATGACATAACGTTGGAGAGTTTGCCTGTTAAAACACGACGGTACCCCGAGCCTCTGTTTTTTTTTTTTTGGGGGTTGTGGCTTAGGTAACAAACTTGCGTGCAATGTTTTGCGGAGATTCTTGAAACTTCAAACCCTCCCTGAGCAGTAGCGTGCTCCTCGCAGAGGTCAGAGGAGGGCAGTGCCGGGCTGGGAGGGAGTGGAAGTTTCCAGGTGGACTTTCCATCGGAGTTCATAGGACAAGTGAATCCCAACGCAGCCAGCAGGAACGGCCACCAGGCCCTGCTGTCCGGCAAGCTCCAGCGGGGTAATTGGAGGAACTGGGCTCTGGAAGTGGAAAGAGGAACAGGCTCGCCTTGAACTTCAGCAGGGCAGTAGGTGAAAGTTCCCGGGAAGTAAAGGGGAAGGTTTCCTCCAAAAGCTGGGAAGGAGCCTCGCTGGCCACGCTGCGGCTGCTGCTGAGGGCTGGGGCCAGCTGGGAGAAGTGTTCTGAGTCCTCGCTTCCTCAGGGCGGTTTGTGTGTGATTGAATCTGTGCTATCTTTGATGAAGGATGTTTCATTTCCCTAAATGAACTCGTGTTTTAGATTAAGTCCCAAATATTTGATTTCAGGCAAAACTCGGTGAAGTGGAAACAGATGTGTGTAAATATATTGTAACAGCAGCTCCTCTCCTCAAACAAAACGCGGCCAGAATTACCATATATGCTGCCTCTCTCGATGTCTAAAGGTTATTTTGTCCCACGCCTCTTATCGAAATGTGATTTATTTAGCTGTATGACCAGGACACCGTATCTGGGGTCTCCAGGACAGATTACACAGGAGGCAGAGCAGAGCAATGCTAATTTATGGCTGTTCAGCTACCGCTTTATTTTTAGTTGATTGAATTATGTCCCAGCCTGGCTTGTGACCGTGATGGTAATGGTGATGGCTATATCTTGGCAGTGAGATCAAATACGTACCCTTAAGAGAAGAGGCCTTGTGCTTTCCAGAAGTGGCTGAATAATTCTGCACGGTCAATAAAACCAGCAGATTGGATCCCAAACTCACACAGTTTTTACAGAAGTTTCTCAGTAGCTTGCAGTAGGTTGCCAGGTGCAAGGCAGAATGCAAACGGATTAGAGCATAAAAGTGATTCTGGAATAGTTTTTAAGAACGACAAATTGCTTTAACTTTTTATTGTTAAAAACAAGGAAATGCTGAAATGCCAAAGCAGCTGACGCAGAAAGAGGGGGAAAAAAAGTCTAATTGCCACATTCTCACACATTCATATACATTGTTTTGTGGAGACAGACAATTAGTGTTGTTTTCTGCAATTCACCGTGGAGATAAAAGAAATATTTTGGTACAGCAAAAATTGATTATTGCCAACAGTCTGTGAACTTCTTCTTCAGTCGAGAAAACAATTGCGAATTTTGTGGGAAATGGCGTATTTTTTTTTTCAGTGACCATTGCTGCCTCAAACTACAGAAATACCAAAAGTTTTCCAAAGCTTCTTTGTGTCTAAAGGGTTGAAAGCTAAACAATTCATTGCTTTCTTCATTATTTTCCAGACAGCAATGAAACTGTATTAGGGATATTTGAAAATACAAAAAGCACATGAGAACAAAGTGGTTTAAAGTTTGACAACGTACAGGCAGATGAAAAGGCAATATTTACTTTGGGGACACACCCATGTGTCTGCAGATTAATGGTAGGGAGAAAGGATACCTGCTTTTAGCTAATTGCCAAGCTCCCACAATGTGTAAGCCAGCAAATTACACTAAAATAGGTCATCGTTTCATCTTGAAAGTTGCGTAACAAGTTATCAATCTCTTCTTCTCATCTGTTAAGTGTTTCAGAATTGCAGGAAGTATTTCATTTTGCCAGCCTTGAATATGTGGAAACGTAAAGGCATGTCCCTGCAAGACTGTTATTTCTAAACCTGCAGCTGAAAGGATCTTAAACTGCTTTCCATCTGCTATGAGTTACTTTGCACATGAAATGAAGATTGCCCCATTGCATTTTAAGCACTTTAAAGAGTGAAGAGGTGGGGATTGTAAAGAGACTTTCAGCGGTTCGGTGCTACTTTCTTTCACAACACGCTGAAGCACTAAAGCATGTATGATAAAATTTTATAATTAGAACTGAGCGTGTGTGCTGTGGTTTAAAGCATAATGCATTCATTACACGACAAATTCAAACAGAAACTCAATGACCGATTTGTGGGTCATAAAGGCAACTCTTATCTAAAAATGTACCGTGACAAAATGGACACAATAGGAAGGGATCGTATTTAGTTATATATTTGCTCGTCAGTAGTTGACCTCACACTTTGATTTTAGAAAATGAGGCTGCCTTTGCATGAATGGGCCATTTTCTCCGATATTTGCCCCAGAAAATAAAGCATTATTGAACGTTTAAAACTTGCTGGAAGACTGGGCACATATCATTGGTATGAGGAATGTTCTGTATGGAGGAATTTGTTGTGTTGTGCATGTTTCATCAGGAATTTTGTGGCAGAACATTACAACATTTCATATCTTCAGATTCTAGTAATCTATGTTTCTTAAAGCTTGTGAAATAGTATCTATTTCTGCTTTAAGTGCTGCAACGGAAAGAATGTTTTCATTGTGCAAATATACTTTGACATACTGCAGAAACAGCTAAGCATTTATTTTATTAAGGTTGAGCTTCAAATTAATTGCCCAAGTAGGGAAAGGTTTGTGAACGGATTAGAAAAAAAATATATATATAAAGATGTATTGAAATGTGCAGCAAGTAACCAGAAATCCCATTTCAAACAATACATTGGAGTTAAAAATAAAGGAATTGACTGACTTTCATTTAAAAGATAAGCGCTATGCTAAGGAAAATTGAGTTTCCCTAAAATATTGTTTAAATAAAAGACAAGGGTCTAGTGGTGGGAGGTTTTTATTCCTGAGGGTTCTGTTTGTTTCCCTCAAAGAAGAGATTTCTCTATCACCGTACAGCTGGGGTAGGTTTCTGTTCCTTCATATGGAGGGCTTCATCATATTGCCTCAGTAAATACGAGCATGTGGAATAGCAGAGCTCTTCTTCAAAACACTGTGGTCAAGGCTTGGCCTATCTTGATCTGCATATGAACATGGAGGCGTGAAGTCTGCTGGTTTTCAGGCTCTTGAGACTGAAGTTTGTCGTGGTTCCCTGTTACTGCTTGTCACTAAATACATGGTTTGCCTAGAGAGAGGAACAATGACGTTTAGGAAATTGAAGCCAAACAATGGTTTATTATTTTTATTTTTTAAACTCTAGTTAATAGAAATCAAAGAGCTTTTTATTATTATAATTTTCTAGCAACGTTACTATTCATTTCTTTCTTCCCACATTTCCTTGTATCTCAACACACCCAAACACTTGCGGACAATCCCAGGAGCTGTGTTAATCACAACCACGCGTTTGGGAAATTTTCCTCCCGCCTTTCCCGCTGCGTCAAGCCAACTAATGCTGGAGAGCGCAGCCGAGGCCAAAGGCACACAGAGAGGACGTGACTAAAGGATCGCAGCCAAAAACTCGCCGTTCCTCCGGCGTGCCCTCAGCCGCCTGTTCCTGCCACAACTTGCACGTCTTCCCCTAGGCCTGGCCCTGCGGGAGGCGAGGTGCCAGCGGGCAGGGGCAGGCAGGGAAGGGGGAAAATGGAGCTGAGGGGTCTGGGGGGAGAGACCACCAAAAGCTGGTATGGCTGTGGTGTGGTTATTCGGTGCTACATTCCTAAAAAGGCAAATACTTGAAGTATGCGTGACCAAAATATATTAAAAAAATGTAGGTCTGAGGAGATGCTGGGGAGGGAGGGGGAAAAAAGCCCCTTTGAAGCTGTCAGAATTTTATTTGCTGTCAAAAGCACTTGTGTGCCTCTGCCACTGTCATACGGTATTTGCATGGTGCTGATCCAAAGGAGCGAGCTGTCTGAGCAAAGGAGCGAGCTTTGTTGGCTGAAGATGACGGGGGAATTACTCGGGAATTAAAAAAATATAAAAATATACTACATGATGTTAGGAAAGAAGCGCATCTTCCAGGGGAGGGCTTGGGAGGCGTTCAGATACGGGTAAAGCCCTGTGAGCCTGTGAATTTAGACTGTGCGCGCCTTGCTATGTGCCTGCGTGTTTTATTTTATTTATTTTATTTTATTTTATTACAACACCTCGGGCAGACCCGAGCCTGACGAAGAACCCCCTCAGCGAGGCGGCGGCCATGCCCCCCCCCCCCCCCCCCCCCAGCCGCCCGTGAGGCGAGGCCCCGCCCCGCGGCGCGGGCCCGCTGCGAGCTCCAACGGCTCCCGCGGCGTGACGCAGGCGGCGGCGGCGGTCACGTGGGGCGGAGCGGGGCGGAGGCCGGCCCCGTCCTGCCCGAGCCGCCGCCATGCCGCTACTGCCGCTGCCGCCCGGCCGCCCCCGACACAGCGCCGGGCCCGGGCCCGTGCCCCGGCTGGCCCCGCTGCTGCTGCTGCTGCTGCTGCTGCTGCTGCTGGCCGGCCCGGCGCGGCCCATCTCCTTCCAGCTGCCCGGCAAGGCGCGCAAGTGCCTGCGGGAGGAGATCCACCGCGACACGCTGGTCACCGGCGAGTACGAGATCGGCGCCCCGCCCGGCTCCTCCAGCGGGCCCTCCGCCAACCTCAAGGTGACGGCACCGCCACCGGGACCGACACCGACACCGGCACCGGGGCCGGCGCTGCCGCTGCTGGGCCCGGACGTGGCGCGGGGCGGGGCCGGGGCGGGGCTGGGGGGCGGCGGGGCCCGGCCCGGTGTGGGGGCAGGGGGACGGGGCTGTACCGGGGGGCGGGGGGGGCTGCTCGGGAACGGGGTCACCGGGCACGTGGAGGCCCTGCGGCAGCTGGCCCGGGTCGTGGGCTGCCTCTGGGGCCCTGCTTTTATTTATCTTTATTTATTTTATTTTATTTTATTTTATTTTATTTTATTTTATTTTATTTTATTTTATTTTATATCTGTTGCATCATCTCTAAAAGGGAATGTGTCTCTACGTGGGCAGCTTACGTGCCGGAAAACCTTCCCCTGGTGAGGCACGTGTGTTTCGGGTTGAGCACGTCCCCCTGTTTTTTCTCTTACCGAGCATCCTGCTCCTCGGGTTGCCCACCCTGACCCCGCAGTCTCTTCCAGACCCCCCTCCCTACAGAGGCCTTGCCTAGGGAGGTGCTGAACGCTTGGGTCTCGCTCTGGCTTTGCTGCTGAAGCGGGTACCCAAACAGGAGTGCTTCTGGAAGCTCCGTTTGACCAGAGCTATGAAGTTCCATTTTGCTGGAGCTATAAAATCAATTCGATGTAAAAATCAGTAAGTCTTTGTCCCATACTACCCTCAAAAGCCACAAGGGACAAATAACCACCTCTGCCATTCTTCCTTTCCATCTTACCACTCAGGTATGGCCACCCGATGCTCTGGGCCTGCTGTGAGTGTGGTAACACCTGGGCTAGGCACACACTCCTTGCTCCTTGTGTCTCAGTTGCTGTGAGAAAACACAGCTCAGGACATCCACCCACAGCGGTCTCGCTCCTTCCTTGCTGCCCGGCCTGCTCCAGTCCCCGGGATGGGGCCACCCAAAGGTGGGAGGCTGGTGGTGAATTGTGGCCATGCTCGGTGCGGCTCCCATCTGTGAGCTGAGCGGGGTGTTTGTGGTGCTCCCACACCAACAGTGGCAGCCTCTGTTCCGAGGAATCCTCGCGCCCTGCCAGCTGGCTGCAGCAGGGAGCCTCGGGGCGGATGACGTCCCGCCGGCATCACATCACGTGCGGCTGTGCCGATGTAGGGCCTGGCGGGACGGGGAATCGCAGGGCTCTTTGTAAGGGGCGAACAATGCCCTGCCTGTGGAGGGCCGTGTTACTGTAAATAACGTTGGAATATCATGAAAAATCCCTTTCAGGTCAGCCTCTCCCCCGCAAGTCTTCTGGCTGGGCTTTTAGCAGCTTCTCCCACCCCCGCACGCCCAGCTGAGCTGATGCACGGGGCTGATTCGGGGAGCAGAGCACAGCTCTTGCCATCTCAGATTCCGATTGTGGGCAGGCCATTGGAGCTGGAAAGGACAAAAACAGCTCAAGCAGCGCAGTATCCTCTCGCTAAAGATTAGCTCTGCTCTCTGGAAAGCCCTGAGGGAATAATGCTGGAAACAACGGGGGCATTTGAGGGCTTTCTTTGCGGTGTTCTTGTCACACAGCTTGGTGAGAGCCCAGCACCAGCTCAGATGTGCAGCCGGGCAGGTGCCCTGGGTACCCTGCAGCACGTGGTGACCGGGACGTGTGCCCATGTGCCGTGCTGGCACAGCCAGGTGCCGGCAGCCTGTGCCCGGCTGCGTGGCGTGCGCTCATTTGTGCACAGCTCACACACAGGTGGAGCTCTGAAAGGGAGCAGCTGCAGAGGCTCCGAGGTGTTCTCAGGTAGACAAAGCCATATGGCACAGGGGCAGCGGCTGCACGTCCTGTAACACACGGTTATGGAGTAATCTGCGTGCAGGGGGAGCTTGTTCCTTATGCCCTGAGGCTGCAGGATTTATACCTTTATTATTTTTCCTGCCTAGTGTAGCGACTCGTTATATCCACGTAAAAGTCTGTACCTGTTCCGGATACGAGCAAGCGGTCAGTCTCAGTGCTGTCCTGTGGCAGGGAGTTAATTAGGTGTTGAAATAAGAAAAGAAGCGTTTCCCTAAAATCATTTTGGGTATGTAGCCTTTCCATGTGGCTCTTTTACAGGGAAATAAGGATGTAGATTGCAAGGTTGTAGACTTCAGTTGTAAGATGGAGTAAAGGAGAATGTCTGATGTATCTGCTCTGTACCACAAAATATGTTCTGCACCTCTGCCTTCCGCATCCTTGAGATGATTCTCGGGCTCTTCAGACATACCTGCTGAGGGAAACCAGGAAACAATGCAGAGGAGAGTGCTGTTGATTTTCTTGCAGCATGGTAATGCATTTTTTTTATCCAACTCAGCGTATTTCGAGCGGCTCGACCTTTTAATTGAGCACAGCAATTGTCTCAGTCTGTGCCACGGAATGTGTGTCCTTTTTTACTCTTGGGTGAAGCATTTTTGTAGATCGAGTACAGTTTTTACCTATTCTTAGTAATTTCAGAGACGTAGTGCAAAGCAGTCATTACTCTGTCTGTGTAGTCTGAGTTCTCTGAAGTGGCCACTTCTATGGACCTTGGCACCCTGACCTTGTGTAACTTGGGGCCGCGCTGATTGTTCATTTGTGGGGTAATAGATACACCCTTCTTTGTGTCATCTGCTGGGGAATGAGCCTTTTTTGTCCCGTAAGGCTTCTCTGCGTCTGCTACCATGGGAACTTCTGAATTTTGCTTGCAAAAAGAAGGCAGCGAATGACAGTTTGGCACAGCTCGAGTTCCTAAATGTAGTCTGTATTCAGGGGTTATAGGAGGAAGAGAAATCGGTGTGGTTTTCGGTTTTGGGTCGGTTTTCATTTTTTTTGGTTTTGTTTCTTTTTCTCTATTTGTTTTGTTTATTTGTTTAAGAGTGAGTAGTTATGGAGAGGCACTCTGGCTTTGTCAGCTCGGCGGGGATCCGTAGGGGAGGAGTTGATGCAGGTGCAAAGAAGAGGGGAAACCTCCGAAATCAGAATGTGGCAGATCCAGGAGGGGAGGCTGGGAGAACTCGTACAGTTTTTATGCTGTGTGAGCCCATGGCAGTGCAGTGCTGCTCCTTACCCTCGCCGTCTCTCTCTCACACAGATAACTGACTCGGCGGGACACATCCTGTACGCCAAGGAGGATGCCACGAAGGGCAAGTTTGCCTTCACCACTGAAGACTATGACATGTTTGAGGCCTGCTTTGAGAGCAAGCTTCCCGTGGGTAAGTGTCCTTTAGCTTCTGGTGAATTCGGGTGGATGTGTGCATGAGAGGTATGTGGATAGTGGTTCTGAGCAGAGTCTGCAGAACGTTTTGACTTTTAAAGCTGTTTCTCAGGAGTTTGTGGACAATCTTACCAGTGCAGAGCATCTGCTGTCTGTGTTGCATTTGGAAGTTAAGTATTCCCCTGTGGCTGTTGTACAGAGCGCTCAGGTTTCCTCTGAAAGAGGCCTAAGAAAGGGGAATTGTGTGCTCCTCCTACACAGGTCAGCACAGTCGCAGTGAATGGCAGCATCAGGGTGCAAGCCGCACCTCTCTTGCTCTTTTCATGCTTCTCATCCTGCAGTCGAGCCAGAACAGAGCACGATGCCATCATTTCCAGGACCTGGCCTTTCTCCCCTGCTGCCCATCTCTCCCCGTTAGCTAGAATGTGACCTGCAGAGCGTGTGCTTGGCTGCAATCCTGTTAGGTTAGCAGCACGTGGTGGAGAACATGGCCGTGGTTTGCACCCACAACTGCAAAGCAGTCAATAAAGGGAAGGGGAAATGAGCCGGACGTCAGCTTTGCATTTGTGCTGCAGGGATGGTTGCCTAACGAGCGCCGAGGCTCGTTTCCTGTGAGGTGACGCATGTGCTGCTCTGGGTGCTCGGGCTCATCCTCGGGACAGATGTGCTGAAAGCAGCCAGCACGTGGCTTCCAGTCTCCTGTGGTGTGGGTGAGCCTGTGCAAGCTTGTGAGTGCTCGCGTCTCCTCACCGTCACTGTCTGAGTTCTGCTCCCTGGAGCTGATTCTTCTGTGTCTTACCATATAGACCCCGAAGAGCAGTCACTAGCAGCGTTCCCCGGATCTGCTGAAAGGCAGCATCTGCTTTGCTGCTCTGCTCCATGCAGAAGATGCAAGTAATTTGCAAGCTGCAGAGAACTTTCCAGAAACAGAAGGCCATCTTTATCGGTTCGGGGAGGGATCTGGCTCGTAAAACCTCTTCCATCATATTTTGCAGATGAGATAGTGACCCCAAATGCTCAGGGTTCTGCTTTTTCATGACGAAGGTAGGGCTTCCCAGTGCTCCTTAACGCATCGAGACATGCAGGCCCCGGTGACTCATCCGGGAGAGCTGCTGCTGCTATTTACTGTCCCACACCTGGGTGGTTGGGAGGCCTCCAGACAGTGCCACAAACCCTTTCAGAGATCACGCACTGCAGTGGGAGAGGCTTCTTTCTTTAGTCGTGTCTAGACTCTTACTTCAGTGCTTGTGACCAGAGGTTTCTTGCCTAGCCAGAGCCTCTTGTGGCTCTTTTTGTTGCGTCAAGTGTTTGCTCCTTGGTTTCCCTGCCTTGTTGCAAGCTTGTATTGGAGCTTTTGGTACCAACGAGGATAACATTTGTAAGCGCAGCTTCTGCTCAGTGACTAGTGGGGACTGAAGTGCCAAAATCCAGAGCTGTTCAGTTGGGCAGTTGGATCTTCTTCCATAGGCCTTCTCTTTAGGGTCCTTCAAGTTGCCAGTTTCTTCTTTTACCCAGGGGCCCCATAATCCTTGCTGACAATTTATACTGCATGGTGGGTGTCTGCAGATTTCCCCTGCTTGTGCTGGATTTTAAGGAAATGTTGAAGCAAGGGAGGTTGCACCGTGAGGCCTGATCAGTGCAGGACTCGGTTGAGGTGCTGTGGAAGAAGTAACCGTGTCACAAGGCAGTGCCTCCTTTCCCCTTTAATGCAAGCAAGGGGATGGGGCAACTGACCAGGCTCTCTTTTCTCCCCACGTTTCTCCTTTCCTGTTCATAGTTTCCTCAAGTAGGTGGTCAGGACTTGCAGTGCTGCAGCAAGGAGGGCGTTGGAGCTCTGGAAGAGGAGAACTGTTGGTAGAGGAAGCCCAGAGCCGTTGGGCCCTGAGAGATCTGAGCGACTGGGATTTCTCAATCCTTCACCGCAGAAATGAGGAAGAGGAAGTGAGAAGGAGACCCTGAGCAGAAGGCCCACACCAGGAGAGGGAAGGAGTTCTTAGAGTGCTCCTTGAAGCTGTGCGTGTTCGTACAATGGGCTTTTTGCCCCGCTTCCAGGGTGGAAAGATCCTGTCTTACTGACCACTGATCTGTTCCCAAGGGCACTTTAGCATCATGAGCCAGTTTCTGACAAGCACAGCACCAGACCAGGTTGCCCAAAGCTTTGAGCACCTCCAGGGATGGGGCATCCACAGCTGCTCTGGGCAACCTGTGCCAGTTCCTCACCACCCTCTGGGTAAAGAATTTCTTCCTCATGTCTAATCTAAATCTGCCCTCTTTTGATTTAAAGCCATTGCCATTTGTCCTATTGCTACACTCCCTGATTAAAAGTCCCTCTCCCATCTCCATCTTTACCTCTTTGCTCCTTCCATAATCCTACTTTTCCCAACTTGGGGTTTAATACCTTATTTTTTCTGGCATTCTTTTGTGAAAAAAATTTGACATCCAGTTCAGCCACCTTGTTTTTGCATTGACTACAAATGAGGAGCTCCTTTAGTCTCCCAGGAAACAGCTCTGTACTTGCATGAGATAACCTCTTGAAGACCCTGGGGGTTGTAGGTATCAGCTGGATGGCTTAGCTGGGACTTGCTGCTTTTTTTGGTTTGTTTTCTTACTGTGCTGATCTGATCTCTGCTCTGGTGAGCCCCAGCTGCAGGAGGTATAAGGAGGCGCAGAGGATCTGATGAGCTTAAAGGAAGCTTCTGCTCGTGCCTTGGGCTCAGTAATCTTCTGCAAGAGCAGCTTGAGGTTTTCCAGGGCAGTCTCTGACAACGTTAACCTCTTGCAGAATGTCTGCTTTCCATCCCCTTGCTCCCAGCAGCTCTCATTTTTCTGCTTTTTTGGCAGCTCTCCCCTCCAGCCTGACAAATGAATCCTTCCAGTTCTGTTCTCTTCACTGTCCTCTTCATCTTTCTCATCTCTTCCTGGAAGCTCAAACTGTCCAACCAAGTTGCTGTAATTTAAACAACATAAAAAAAAAAAACCCTCTCTGAACTGCGTGCTTTGCATTTTCTTCTGCAGCTACTGTCTATCCCCCTGCCTGCCAGTCTGCAGGCATGCTGATAGGCATCAAAAGTGGTCAAAACTTGTGGCTGGAGGAAGGAGCACTGCATGGTTGTGTACAACATGTCTGTTAAAGAATGTGCTAGGTTTTAAGTTCATTTTTACAGTAACTGGTCTTTCATACAAAAACATCCTAATTCTGATTTATCTATGAGGCTTTTAGGTGGCTGAGTGAGAATTTTGAGCTGCAGTATCCCTCAGGAATTAAGAAACAGTTTGCAGATGATAAGGGTGATGTTGCTAGTGGATCATTCTGTGCTCTGACAGCAGTAGGTGGAGGTGATTCCAGTCTGCTGTTGGAAGAGCTGTTCAGTGGAGAGAGACAAAAACCGGGGATGTTGCATTGAAGACCTGCAATATGTTGCTG